GGTACAGTAAAAATGTACAAGGAAGCAAAAATATTTTGAAAAAACAAGTTTGCTGAGTATCGGAAGTTGTTACAAGAGGGGCACACCAAGATAATGTAACAGAGTCCAAATTACATAACATGCAGCAAGGAGTTCTCTTGCATTAACAACTCCTAGAAAATAAACCAGTAATCTCAATGCAAGAATATCACCCCTGGGTTAACAGGCCAAATTTTCTGAGGGACACAGGTAGTAATTCACTATACTTCCCCTTTCTCTAATACTTTTTCTTACACCAATTTCTTTTCTTTCCTCGAGGATAGATTTTATCCTGTTGAAAAAAATTTAGTTTTATTTGTAAAGTGTAGTAAATAATATCCTGATGGAAGTAGGCAGCGTTTTAGCTGAAGATGCTCAGGAATCAAACTTCTGAAAAAGGCCAATCAGCTAGCTAGCTAGCAGTTACCATCAGTGGCTTGCAGAAAAAAAAAATTACGGATGCTATGTTTGCTAAATAGATAAAAAGAATAAGCACTTTAAAATGGGTGAAAAATCCCAGGATTTATTGTGACCTAGACCAGAGGTCCCTAACCTTTTTGGAACCAGGGACCGGTTTCCTGGAAGCAAATTTTTCCAGGGAGTGGGGGCAGGTGTGTGAGGTTCAGGCGGTAATGTGAGCCATAGGGAGCGGCAGATGAAGCTTAGCTGGCTTGCTTGTGACTCACCTCCTGCTGTGCAGCCCAGTTCCTAAGAGGCTGCAGACTGGTACCCGTCCGAGGCCAAGGGGTTGGGGACCCCTGACCTAGACACTCAAAAGCAGACAGTTGACCTTTGATGAAGCCCATTTTCCTGTGGAGGGAGCCATAAGGGGCTCCAAGACACAATTTGGTTTCAACAGTGTTCACAGCCGGAGGGCAAACTCAGAATGTCTCCTCCTCTTGCAGAAACTGGAACACGGATGAGAAGTCTTTTTTTGAGTAGTCCTTCACGCACATCATCCCTGTAGATCTGATGGGCTTGACTGCCCAGAAGGATTGGGCTCTTCGTGCTGATAGCAGAGCCTCATGCTAATCCCAGATCCTTAGCCATGAGTGTTGCTCCGAATCCGCCCTGATAGTAATTAGCTGAGGGAACGCCATCCATCACCCCAGGTACAGGATTATAAGTGTCACGTGACCAACATCGTCCTGAGCTCGTATTTAGGATTTTAGCCAAGAGTTTTGGGTCAAGCCCTAACCTGAGTCCCAGATTCATAGCTTCAGCAGTTCCAATCCTACTAATAGCTAACAGCAAGTTTTTGCAGATCTTCCAAGCCTGGCCAGTCCCAACAGCTCCACGATGCACCACATGGGAGCCCATGCACCACAGCAGCTCAACCCCTCCCATCCTAAATGTGAGGTTGCCAGACTGAGCCGTTCCCACACCACCAGAAACAGGGGCATCCGTGAAAACTGCTCCCATTTTCTCAGTTTCTTTGACCAATTCTCTCAAAACCACAGGATCAACAGTACTGGAATCTATTAATAGTGAGTCTTCCTTCACTTTTTTGTGAATTCCTTTTGCTCCAGAATAAGCTTCTAGCGCATTGATGCATTGTAATAATTCCGTCAGCTTTTTCGGCTATATCTGCTGCGGAAGACACTACCGGGTTCACCTGCATCTAGAAGCTCTTTGCACACATCAGGGAACACATCATCAATAATGAGTGGCTAGCCATGTTTCATGAGATCTTTTGCCATTGGATTCCCCACGTTGCCTACTCCAATGAATCCAACTGGAGTCTTAGAAGCTATTGACCTAGAACACAACGCTGCGAGGCTGGCCACCTCCGGCTGCTGCGGACGACTCCTGTACCAGAGGCCGGAGGTGGCTCCACGGAGACAGGAGGAGGCTGCCACGCTGCCCCCGCCCCTCCTTCCCACGGTGACCTCCTCGACTCCCGGCTCACCCACTGGCTGCTACAGGGTGCGTAGTGCGGAGGGCCGGCTCGGCTGTGGCGATTCTTAATACCTCTTTGTTACTGGGTTACACATACAATTTCACCTAGTGAGCGATTTAACAGAAGGAATTTTTTTCTACGGCATTTTTGTGGCACAGCAGATAGAAGTGAGGTCACTATTTCTTTGAAAAACTGAATTAAAAATTTATAGAAAGTCATGATTCATTCTACAAACATGCTGAGTCAAAGAAACATGAAAATTGATGCAATGGAGGAAGAGTGCTAGACTTCCCTGATGCTCAACTGGGACCTTTCTTCTGGTGTCAGAACATGGTTGTATAACTCCTTTAATTCCAGCAGATTTTCCAAAAGTTCCAGAATCTTCAGATTTTGGTAGCCCGTTTACTGCCTTTGCCCCCCCCCCCCATGCCAAACCCTCACCCCACCCCGCACACATTTATTTTTTACCAGTTGTCCTCCAGGGTGTTTTTCTTTATGTAGTTATTGCAACAGTTTGTTAGACTACTGACACCCAGTGCAAATGCCCCTCCCCCCCGTTTCCTCACCCTGTGTAGTTTTGTTCCACCTTGACCTGGGATTGGTCACGTGACTTGCTTTGGCCCAATGGCATATCAAGAGCTGAAGCTTGGAGAGTACTTGTGCTTTAGGGCTCGTCCTCATGGAAACCTGACATGTTAGGAAGCCTGGCTAACCTAGTGGAGACTAGGCACAGGCCACAGCCAGCACCAGTGGCCAGACATGTGAAAGCAACCAGCCCCAGTCCAGAAACCAGATGATGGCAGCCTCAGTAGTCACCTCAGGTGAAAGCAAGATAGATCCACCCAGGAGATCTCAGCCCATTCTGCTGATTCACAAATTGTGAGGAGATAAAGTGCCTGCTGTTTTCAACCACCAAGCTTAGGAGTAGTTCATCACACAGGAAGAGATATAACTGTCTTCACTGTTAGATTATCTTCCCATTTTATACCATGTTTCCTCTCAAAGGACTGTTCCTTTATCCAAGATTCTAGAAAAGAAATAACAATTGATGAGGCTGATAGAGCCTTAACATTTTTTAAAAGTTTTATAAACTTTTAAAATAACTATATTAATAAAATCAATATTTATTTTATCACAAAATTTTTTCTTCAGTTGCCTTAAGAGGTAATGCAGAATTGTACTAAGTTTATAAATTTGGAGGCTCTAAAAATGTGTTATTCCTTGGATTCAAGTCCTAGTGTACTTTATGTGGGCATTCACGTTTGCAAAATGATTCCAGGAAATTTGCGATTTCATTTTACAACTTTGGCCTAAGGAGTCTTATGATATTTTACCTGAGAAAAATAATACATTAATTCCACTTTCAGCTATTAAACCCATGGTTTCCTGTATTTTCTAAATTCCCTATCAGTAAAGAAGACTATGTATAGCGTACAAGGCTGTCATGATTAGGAGGAAGGTAGTACAGAAAGAGCCCGCCAAATTAGGCATTGTCCAGTCATGTCAGTATACTAACGTGGGGAGCCACAGGCAGCTTGAAGCCTGGAAAAAAGACAGATACAATGTAATGATTATCCTAAGGATCGGAATAATGATTCCTATGATTTTGTTTTAAATATTAATGGCAGAGGATTCTGGGAAAATGATGGTGGCTACAGAGAAGGATTTTAATCCCTGAATATGCCACCCCTCCCCTAAATACACCCCCACCCACCCACCCAAAAAAGAAAGAAAAGCATCTAGGATAGCAAGACCAAAAACCCACAGACAACATCTACAACAAGGTGTGCACATGAACTGCAACATACAGCCAGGTAGGAAAAAATCAACAACAGGAAAAAGGTCTACATAGGTGTATCCCAAGGTGTGTGGGAGGAAGACAAGGGAAGGACTCTCTCTCTCTTTCAGGAGAGCCAGAGGTTACTATGGCTCAAGGGCTCACTGAGATTGAAAAACTCACTGAGAACAGCGGCAGAAACTGGGAGTGAACATTGCAGGTTCC